TTAGTTTCAATCATCGTCCATGCGCTGAATGGATCAATAATGGCCCATCTTAGCATAAAAAGTGACTACATCTGGATCAGAGTTTTTTTTTTTTTTTTTTTTTTGACAGCGAAAGATTCATATTTTATTAAGGTACTACCAAAAGATTGGCCTCATGAGTCATCCAACTTGAGAGTTGAGAGTTTACATGGGAGAAAGAAAAGCCTCGAGCGCGAGCTCCTTTTGCAAGGCGATCAGCTCGGAAGTTCAAAGAACATGGAGTAAAAGATATGGAGCAAAAGGTAAACATAGAACGAATAAGATGAAACTCATTCCAATAAAGATAGTCATTTGTCTTCTAATCGACCACGGATTTTACCCTTTTTTAGCCATGATTTATAGGTGTTTTCATATATATTTACTACAATATATAATCTATTTAGATTATTTTTACAGAATCAGGTACGTTCTGGAGAAATATGGTGATTTTGGTGTCTTTTGAAGCCTTTAAGTGCAGAACTGCGCAGACGCGTTAGATGTTTAGATATGTATGGAGACTTTCCAATGGTGCAATTTAACTGATCTTTAAACACAAGATATATCTTTGAGTTAGCTTTCCAATGCCACCGGTTTGAGGTCAATCCAACGGTTAGATCAGAAGTTATGTCCGATTTACTGAAGAGTGGTCAGTCTGCCTCGCGAGAGAACGGTGTCGAGAAGAGGAATGTATATCGATCGATGGGAAAGCCTTCATATCGGTCGATATGAATGCCAGAATGTGCGCTGACTATATTTCATAACCGACTGAAGCCCACAAGTTACCAAAATACCCTTGACGACCTGAAACCCTATTTATGTTATTTCTAAGCCATTGTTGACGGCTACGCTTTACACACAAGTTTTCTTTTCATCTGTTGTTTCTCTTAATTAGGAGAGAAGGGAGGAACTCCTATCAGAGTCCTCCTGGAACTCCATTGGTTTTTATATCTATTCTATTTTAGTTTTATATCTATTCATCTATGATTTCTGTGACAATCTTCATGTATGAATAGATCTACCTGTTGGATTTAGGGTTCAGATAGGTTGTGGGATTAGCCCCAACTATAGATTGCTAAGTTGTGATATTCATTGTTAAGATGTTATTAATTTTTGTTTCTAGAGTCATGAACTAGAACCATGAACTGGAATAGCTTAATTTATTAACCTCACTACAAGAAATATGACTTTTAATAACAGTAGAAGATAGCGTTTTTTGTCTTTATGCTATGGTTGACATACCCTTTAATTTTAGATAGCGTTTGTATATTTGGAAACGCTATGATAGAGTGATATATTTAAAAATGCTATGACATCATATTTTTAATAGCATATAATTAAAAACGTTATGTTTACCTTCTTGACTCCCTAAACCCTAAACGAGATTTTAAACCCTAAACTCTAAAACAAAACTTTAAATTCTAATATTCTAACATAAAATCTTAAATTTAACCTAAAATAGTAAATATAAACTTAAAATTTATTTGTTACAAAAAAAAAAACTTAAAAGTTATTTCATTTTCAAAAATTAATCTCAAATTTCAATACCTTACTTTAACCTTTTGCTAAACCTCTATTCTAAATTCATAACTTTAAATATAATTTAAAATAAATAAAAAATTAAAACTTAAAAAGATTTCAAATCTACACCTTGATCACAGCTCTTTATATAAAAAGTAAAACCTTTATACTCTCAAAACTACAAACCCCTAAATTATAAAATCTTAACTATATACCTCAAGCTCTATATATCCCAAACTCTAGTTCTTATATCTAAACTCTAAATCTTATATTTAAGTTTTAAATATATTTTTCCAAACTTCAGTTTCAAATTAAGATCCTCTAGGGATGAGTGTAAGCCAGTCTATGATCTTGGTGGGCACTTACTAAAGCTATATCGTTCGATGCTCCTATAGAGTAATCGATCGACGTCACATATATCGATCGATACAAGCTGCCAAACATCGATCGATATTGTCGGCAATTAGGTCAACAAACGAGTCTATTTAGCGAAAGCTATTGGATTTATCTAGGAGTTGAAACTCTTTAATGTCATGCATGCAACTTATTAGGCATCTATTGCATTATAATCCTGATTACTTGAATAGAAACCCTAGATCTAGCAACCATCCTTCCATAAACAACTCCTTGCCAAGCTGGACAATTAATCTTGTTCAACTTGTTTACTGCTTTATTTATTATTCTTTGCTGTTCTATTTTATTATTTGATTACCTAGCTTAATTATAACTATTAGATCTAGTGTGTGCCTTAGCTCTCTGTGGATTTGATCCCTAAGTACTACAATTGAACCTCTTTTGATGAGAGTAATTCACTCCTTAGGGTAATTTGAGAGATATCAAACTTGGCACCGTTGCCGGGGAGCTTTGATCGCCATTAGATCTTGTTTAGTTAGATTTAGTCTAGGTTTTGTTACTGTTTTAAAATACTGATAAATTTTTTCTTCTTTTTCAGGTACATACATCTTATTACTAGGAACAATGAAGAGAGGATTTCTAGTTCCTTTAAGGAAGGAGCCTGCTGGTTCACGCTTATCGATCGACACCCTCCAAGCAGAATCGATCGACATCGTACACCAGACATCGATCGATAAGGCACACATTCATCGATCGACAAAGCCTCGCTGGGAGCAGGTAAGTTTTCTGTTAACACATGTGTTAATCATGAAGTAATCCAAATTGAACCAATAGGTAAAATAAGCAATGCAGTTATCCAAAATAAAAATAAACATGGGACCAAAATCACTGTTACAATCCATTCCACCTTGAATAACGGTGAAGAAATAAAATTGTGTTTGCAAAACTACAAAAACCCTATTCCCCTGAAATCGATCGACACGGCTCACACCGTCTCGACCGATACTGCCCACCGAAATCGGTCGACATGGCTCACACCATCTCGGCCGATACTGCCCACCCGGAATCGATCGACACCGCTCACACAGTGTCGACCGATACTGCCCACCCGAAATTGATCGACACGGTACATCCCGTGTTGACTGATACTGTTATCCTGAAATCGATCGTCACTGCTAATCGCGCGTCGACCGATACTGTTCTTCCAAGATCGACCGACACTGTTTGCAGAAAGAAAGAAAATTTTGACTCCAAAATGCAACTTGAGTACATCCCTCTTATGAGTCAGCGTCTCTCTCATGGTTATCATGACGAGCAATCAATAGTTCATACTGATATGTTTGAAGACCTAATCTGGTCTATCTTTGATGAAGCCACTGAAGACTACCACTTCAGCAAACTCTTTCCTTTCACTCTTGCTGGAGAAAGAAGACGTTGGTTCAAAGAGTTGCCACCAGAGTCCCTCAAAACATGGATTGATATCGCCGAAGCCTTCTTCAACGAATTTCTCTATGACACTCCAGAAAATCTAAAAATGGAGTCAACAACGAGATATGTTGTGGAGGATGATGAACAAGAAAACAATACTGGTGATATGACGTCTCTATCGGTTGATACCATAACTTCTACATCGACCGATGCCACGATCTTTCTATCGAACGATATCGTTCGCCCGTCATCGATCGATACCATGATTTCATCATCGATCGACACTGATCACCGAGACACTGTTCATCATGGTACTGTTCATCCGACGACCGACACCACTTGTGAGGAGGCAGAAAAGGTTGACGAGCTTATACTTAAGATCGATAAGAAGGGTATCTGACGAGACAAAGGAGGTCGTCCTTGCAACATTAAAGGACAATTGATTAATGGAGAAGAAGCTATAATTCCTGATGTGATTTCTTTTTCAAAAATGGATACCTTTGATCTAAGTAGCCAGTGGTATGATTGGGTAAGCGAGGACCCTTTCCAAGGTCTTCCTTATGAGGAACCCAGAGATCATATTAGGATACTTGAGGAGGTAGTTTCTGCAACCAGACATAAAGTTCTATCTGCACACCACATTCTCTGCAAGATCTTCCCCTATTCACTAACCGGAAATGCGTTTAGCTGGTTCAGTCAGCTGCAGCCAAGATCTTTAACCAGCTGGGAGGACATCAAAACTGTCTTCCTCAACAACTTTCTCTATCAAGGTGCAGCAAAGCGACAAAAGAAGTTTGACGAGATGACTAAAGCTAGTGAGGAGGAATTTAGATCTCAATTCGGTCATGAGAGGATGATTGTTTACATTGAGCCAAGGAAAGAATCTGAAACCATTAGCACCCACAGCAACAAGTTAGACATTCAGGTTCAACTTGCAGATGAGGGTACGCAGAGGGGTGAACTGAACATAAAATATCTGGTCAACCATAGTTTGTTTGAGGAGGATGAACAAGATGAGTCTGGAGAACTGAGCAGAGTAGAAGAAGCTGATATTAAAGATCCGACCTCCACATCGATCGACACCAGTTCCTTAGTATCGATCGACAGTACGACTGCAGCATCGATCATCACCACCACCTCATCGATCGACACCAGCATCTCATAATCGTTCGATAAAGACTTTTTTCATCGATCGATACCACTTGAAATCCTTGAAAGTTCGAATTGTCCTCAGGATACTGCAGACTCGACACAGAAGAGCACTGATGTATCAAGTTCTTCTCCTTCCCTGGATGTAAACATAGAGAATGGAGAGGATCTTGGAGATTTGGATTCAAGTAAAGAAGTTATTATTGAAGACTTCTTGGAGCTAAAGGAATGGCTTGAGGATATAGATCAGAATTTGGAGCAAAAGCTTGATGACGAACAGTATGCTAAGAGGAAAGATGGAGAGACTTCATCAAAGGCTAGCATCGATCGACTCCAACCTGATAAGATCGATCGATACCCTCCCTGCATCATCGATATACATCCCCCTTACGGCATCGATCGACAGTCGCCATACATCATCGATCTACATACATCCGACTGCATCAATCGACACCCACCCGATTGTATCGATCGACAACCATGGTGGATGAACAGCTAGGATACATAGTCAAACTGGAACCAGTTGAGGAGATAGTGCATAATTCTGAAGCCTCACACATTACTGTCCCTAAACATCAGAGACCACCTATTTGGACAGAAGAAGCTGATGGTTTTCACAAAAGAGTGAAAAGGATACATAATCATATTAAGATTATGGTTCCAAATGCGGTGTTTGAGGCTGAATCTCCTATCCCACCAGATAAAAGTATGGAGTTAAGTTCCTATAGTGGAGTATTAGATGATCATCAGCACATCAAAGTTTCACAGAGAGGGTTAATGTTTAGAGATGAAGTCGA